ATATGCAATGTATGCAATAAACCGAGAATCTGCAATGTGATGAAAAGGATTGAATAGACAATGCGGTACGAGTAGTATCTCGACAAGCAATGTACATTCTCAATCATACATAAAGATGCTGAAGAGCGCAAGGAAGACTTTGACACAAAGACTGACCTGAGAGGACTGACCTCATTCACGTAGTTCAGAGTAGCGAAGCAGAATGCTAGGGTGCTACTAACTAGCCCAATCAATGTTTGAACTCAGACTAAACATGCATGGTATCCATCACGAAGTGTGAAGGAGCCTGGCGCTGTACACAGGAAGAAAGCGCCAGGTCCATACATACACAGACGAAGAGATAAGGATCAGACGAAAGGAGGGAGAAGGATGGGAATGTCGTTAACACCAAGTCTTGGTCACCAATCCCAATTAGTCCCTCATTGCCATGTCTGAACCCCAAAAGTCGAGTCTGGATCAAATGTCACCAAGCTCCGTATCTCTTCTCTCATAGTCTGCAGATGCAGTGAAGTCAGAAGTTGAGAGGGAGAGAAGAGATGGACTGAGAAGAAAAAGAAGAAGAACTCTCTCTCTCTCTCTGTTACGAACCAGATACTAACCTGTGATGTTGGCGCTGTGCTGCAGGTACCTMKAAGACGAAGCTGGAGCAACGGCGCTGCAGGTAGGTACCTCTGGCCTCCACCCAAGCTCTCTCTCTCTCTCTAGTACTACCTAGCTATGGCGCCCAGCGCTGGAGACTACAGCTACCTACTGCGCCCAGCGCTGAAGACTACTAGCTAACGCTACTACTACTACACTGCAACGCTCCCTCCAGAGTGCTGCTCCCGAATCCTGAAGACTACAACTGATCGACTGCCTACCTCGGAAGTGCCTGGGAAGTCCTATGTACTACCTCGGCCTGCCCCCTGACTACCGGAAGGCGAGTCAGGCCGAGGAGGCAGCTCTTGCCAATGCCGAAGTGTACCAGGGGCTGGCGTGCAGCAGCCTGCTGAGGCTGGCGTGGGAAACAACCTAATAATAGTCTGTTTCCGAAACCCTAGTTCGGTGCCTGAGTTTCAGGGCCGGTCGTTCTGATGAACGACCGAAAATGGCCCTTCGTTTCAGGCTAAAAAGTCTGTTGCCATTTTTAGTCTGAAACGACCAGGGATAGGCCCTGAACTTCAGGCTTTCGGGCTGAGCCGACAGGGGGCCTGTAAGCCCTGAATTTCAGGCTTTCGGCCTGAAGTTCAGGCTTTCGGCCTGAAGTTCAGGCTTTTGGCCTGAAAACCGTCGGGCCTGCAAAATGGCCGTCGGGCTTGCAAAATGGCCCGTGTGCACACGCTGCATGTAACACCCCCCCCTCCTTATGAAGTCAAGCCGGGGCGGGGCCGAAGCCGACAATCTGAAGGTGGAACCTAGACGCGGGCGCGGCGTGGAGCAGAAGAAACCGGCTTGCCTTGCATCTTGCGTTCGTAGCGTGCGAGAACGTCTGGAGCTGTCGCTTGCAGTTCCGCACGGGTTAACCAACAGTTAGCTCGATGTGTGCAGTAGGCAAAATGCACCAAATACTCAGTTGGCTTGTTGCCGTAGCGTCGCTGGGAGATGATGTCGCCGACCTCCTGAAAACCATCCATAGAAGGTGGGTCTTGCGTACGTCTCCCGGGAAAATCGTCATGTTCCGCTGGCGTGTAGAGAGCCAATTTGGAACAATGAAAGACTGGGTAGCTAGGCACCTGAATCGTGAAGGAAGGTCCTTCAGGTGCGTCCCCAGCGGGCTCAATGATCGGCCACGGCCCCATCCATTTCGGAAGGAGCTTGCGAGAGATGTCTTGTCCAAGGCTGAATTCCGCTGCCGCTTGAGCGCGTGGACGAAGGCGAGGAGCTCGTTACCCAGCGAAATTGGCTTCGACCAAGGAGGAAGCGTCGTGAATTCCGCTGCCGCTTGAGCGCGTGAATTCCGCTGCCGCTTGTAGAAGACCAACGGATTGTTGTCCGTTACCCAGCAAAATTGGCTTCGACCAAGGAGGAAGCGTCGCCACCGCTTGAGCGCGTGGACGAAGGCGAGGAGCTCCTTCTTGCGTGCATCGTCAATGGAATGCACGAGGGGCACTTTCTTGCTGAAGTACTCGACCGAGTGCCAGTCCACACCATCATGTTGCTCGAGAACTGCACCAATGCCATAGCCTGACACATCCGTGTGACACACGTAGGCGCGAGCGGGTCGTAGATTCGCAAGAACTCCGCAGACAATAGTGCGGCTTTGAGAGCGAGGAATGATCCCCGCGCCTCCTCTCCAAAGTCAAATGGCCGATCCTCGCACTGAAGCTTGTTCAAGTGGGCCGCGATCTTGGAGTAGCCTTTGATGAAGCGCTGATAGTAGCCGGTAAGACCGAGGAACGAGCGAACATCCGTGACGTTCCGAGGCTCCGGCCATTCCTGGACGGCCTGAATCTTGTCCGATAGCGGACTGATGCCCTCCGGTGTGACAAAATGGCCCAAGTATTCCAGCTCCTGCCGCACAAATTCACACTTGTCGCGGTTGGCCTTGTACTTGGCTCGGCGGAGCGTCTCCAACAGTCGTCAAAGATGCCCCAGATGATCCTCCAATTACCGGCTATAAACGAGAATATCGTCTAAGTAGACCAGCACGAACCGATCCAACATTGCACGAAACTCATTGGTCATGGCCGCCTGAAAGGTCGTCGGGGCGTTGGTGAGGCCAAAAGGCATGACCACCCACTCAAAATGCCCGTACCGCGTCTTGAACGCGGTCTTGTAGCGATCGTTCGGCCGGATCGAGATTTGATGATATCCTGATTTCAAATCCAACTTGGAAAAATACTTTGCACCGCTCAGTCGCTCGAGAAGATCGTCGATGTGAGGAAGCGGCCCCGCATTCTTGACGGTTTGCGCGTTGAGCTTGCGGTAGTCGATGCACAATCGTGGATCCTTGTTCTTCTTCGTGACGAAGAGAACTGGTGCTCCATATGGGGAGCTACTCGGGCGGATCCAGCCCTTGGCCAACAAATCGTCGAGTTGTGCGCGAGCTCTTTCCTATATGGAAAGAGCCTGCCTGCCTTTGCAGCCTGGCTGGCTTGGGGCTGGGCCCAGAAGCTTCCAGTAGGCCCCAGGATGCTGCGTCTCTGTCGCAGCTACTGGGCCTCATTCGGTTGGGCCTCCCAACTGTCTGTGTATGAGCGTGCGAATCTCGCCCAGGGCCTGCATCATTTTGGAAAGGCATGGAAGGCCCTGGAATGTCTTGCTGCTCGGCCTGTATTTCCCTCAACCAACTGGCGCGTCGAAACTGCCTGGACCCCAAATACGAAATTGACAGCTGAGGGCCTCTCGTGATTTTGTTAGGCCCGCCTTCACCTAGGGCGGGCATATTTGCAACAGGGCCCCTTGGGCCTGCCGAGGACACAGATCCTCGCAAGAAGAAAAACAAATGCCAAATCTTGATTTCCGAATTCAATGTAAGGGCAACCGAATTCAATGTAAGAGTGAAAGTTGATACGCGAAACGGAAGTTGTGTTGGTGAGAGAGTAAAAGAAATACACAAGTTAAGCTTCAGGTGAGGGAAAAAAAGAAAGTTTTTTTTCAAGAGAACAAGATGAGCCTTTGAAAAATGTGTTGACTTAACCGCCAGTGCACCGCCCAGGCAAACTTGAGAGTCGAAAATGAGTTGTCCCGAAAAAAAACGGGAGAACAGTGCTACCCGACCAAAATGGCTGGCGGCAGCCAGATAAAAAAATGTCGCGCTAGCGTTTCGTTAAAGCTTGGCGAGCAGGGGGAATGCGCCTCGGCAAAAAGAGTTGGATGTACTGGTGGTCTAATCAACCAACCAACCAATTGTTGTGTTGAGAGTTGTCTCAATTGTTTGGTGGGAGTGGTGATCAACCTTGAGAGTCATCGGAGTTTGGGCGGTGCAGGTCGGATATAATTGATGTATGCGAAAGGCCCGAAAAATGATGAGGCAGGGCATATGATGTGGGAACAGTACCTTCATGCACGCAGTGGACACCCTTCACTAGTGCGGGATAGGGGTCTTGGTTGTTGGTCACATTGTCCTAAAGGGATGTTAAAAAATTCTTGAGCTGTCATCCTGTCGCAATGTTGAATAATTCTTGAGACATACAGCACATCAGTAAGTAACGTTGTAGGGTTAACCCCTAGGTTGAGTACATATTCACAGAATGGGTCTGCGTATGTCTGTGCACGTAGTTCACCCAAGTCGGCCGTCAGTTCAAGGGTTGGGAGAGAGGGTAGCGAGAGATGGGTGGGTGCTTACTGTGTGGTCATCTCCTGAGAACAATTGCAAATTTCGCTTGTCTTTCTGTTGTTCTGCAGCTACGGCTACTGATGGTTTAGTGTGATCAGGATGTTATTATTATGTATTAGAATTTAGAACAGTTGTGCCTTGTCAATCGGTAATTAGATAAATAAGTTTGTCCGGTTATTGTCTGAAGATGGAGTGGGTTGGATTGCAAAACCTACACATAGGCATAACAAAGTAGGGACTGTCTCTTAGACTGGCTAGTCTATAGTCTCCTAGCGTGGCTAGTCTGAAGATGTATGGCAGATAGAAGAAGCGGGCACTGGAATCAATCATCGAACCCTGTCCAAGTTCATCTCGGTAACTCATCTTTTATGTAATGTGAACCTTCGCCGCAGGGTTGTGGTTGTCTGCTGAATAGTTTTCGTCCTTGCTGCATAGCACGAGTGTGCAAAGCCTGGCTTGCCTAGCCAAACCCTTTGTCTGTACTGTCGAAAAGCTCATGGTTTTCAAGTTTTTCTAAAAAAAACGAAATAAAAGGGGTGACAAGCGACATCGCCCCACTCCAAAATTTTGGACCATTTCTGGACTTATGCTTGTCATCCTTGTGCAGGACCCTTGCTAATCTTCTCTGTATCGTTCCAAATTTGAACAGATGCTTCAGAGGACAGCTCATGGTTTTCATCATTATAAATTTTGATCTGTGCTTTCTGTTGTTGATAAGTTCTCAATTGCCCTCTTTATAAGTTCTGACTTTCTGATAAATACAGGATGTACACTTGTGTGTGCTGCTTGCAGGAAAATTGGACTAGTAGGAGGAAGAGAAGGAGAAAGATCAACAGCAAAATGGTTGTGCCACTGACATCCAGTTCTGATGCCTGTCAGAAGCATGGTCGCTTGAAGGGCAGAAGAGTGCGGAGCCTTGCGCTCATGGGTTTGCCACAGATGGTTCGCTGTCCATGCTTTGTTGTTTTGCTCGCAGCAGTCATGTTGTGGCCACGTGGTAGTGGAACTTGTCGTTCTCTCATGTGGGTCAGGCTGTGGACCACTGTCACAGCAGCAGGAGTGCCAGAAACAGGCGAAGCAGAACCGTTGTCTGAAATTCCAGAGGGGACTGCAGATAATATGGGGAGTTTAGTAGCGGCCATCTCTGAAAGAGTGAAGAAAATTTCCGACAAAGCACGAGAAAATCATGCCAATAGCTGTGGTAAACAAATGCAATCGACCCCGATATCAACCTCTGATCTCCAAATCCAGTCCAATCCTCAACACCTCAACCCAATGAACACTGCCTCTTAAACCACCAGTACTTCCGAGGCACTTTTCTCAGGGGTGGGAAACACTGCGTGCCAAAAAGAAACAAACCAACGCGGGCGCTGCCAGCCATTTTGCCCCGGAGGCCGATCTCTGAAAGATGCGGCGCGGTAATGCCCCGGACCAAAAACGAATAGCAGAGCGAAATACTGGTGGTTTTTCCTTCTTTCTTTTTCAACCGCCACTACTGCAGAGTCCACGGAACAAGGCCTCTTACATGTGAACCCTTTTTCTTTTTTCTTGAGAAACATCCCAGTGTCCATCCGCAGTCCACGGTCACCCCTACACAGTGCATGGCTCAGTCCATTTCATGGGGAGCAGCATGTGCTGGGAACTGGGCCAGCGTCCTGAGCTACAGCCTCAGAACACCAAAGAATGAAAGACCTCAAAAACACCAAAGAATGAAAGACCTCAAAAACACCAAAGAATGAAAGACCTCAAAAACACCAAAGCATGAAAGACTTTTGCCCTGAAGAAACCAGGGATAACTTGCCTGTGTGATGATGACCTGCAAAATGGCAGATGGAGGAACTTGCTATTTTATGAGTAGGACTGCTTGATTGACGTACTTGCTGAGATTTCCGTGCTCTGCTGATGTTTCTGAGTGTGTATGATTGCTGAGTTTCCATGTGTTTGCCTGCCTGCATGATTGCATGTGTGTGTGTGACCCGCCGGGGTACTTGTGTGCTGGAGAGGCCTGTGGTCCTGGTACTTACCTGTCGCCCTGTTGTTGTGAGGGTGCAGCGGGATATGAGAGTAGTGTAGGCCCACACAGGATGAAAGCACTCAAATAGTGGGTAGTTAGGCAAAAGATATTACGATCCTGGCCCATTTACAAGTATGCATTCATCAGGAAGTACAATGCCGTCCAATTGCGAAAAGAAATGAATGAACTTGAGAGGAGAGAGAGGGAAAGAAGAAGAAGAAGAAGAAAGAAAGAAGAAGAAAGAAAGAAGAAGAAGAAAGAAAGAAGAAGAAAGAAAGAAGAAGAAGATGATGTACTCCAGCATAGGCCAATGACAATGCTCTTCTTCTTCGCCAACCACTCTCCTCCTCCTTATCTCCTCCCCTCTTAATCAAACAAGAAATAACATTAATAATGTTGAATGGCTGAACCAGAATCAGTGTCCGAATCCCTCTTCTACTGCAGGCACAACACGAGGTCCACGGTGGCCATGGCCACCCTTCCTCTTCCGCTTCATGTAGGCCGAGGCTATGGCGGAGTACTGAGGGCTCTACCCTCCTGTCCAAAGGACAACCCAAAGCAGCTATGTCGCTGCCTCTTGTCCAAGGTCAACATCAGGCAGCTATGCCGCTGCCCATTCACCCGCCATGCCTGACTCTGTCCCGAGCTTCCTTGATGCGGCACTACCCCAACTGGGGCCTTCCAGATGCAGCACCTAACAAGGTGATGAAGATGGTGTCCACCATAGCCAGGTAGGTACCACGCCACTCTCCTCCTTGGTCCACTTCTCCCTCCTCCTCATATTGGTAGAGCTCCACCATAGCCAAGGTGGAAGCTCCCGGGCTTCTTCCTCCCAGCAGTGCTGTAGTAGCCAGCGCTCCTCCAGCCAGCGTTCCAGCAGCATGTCGCCAAACTTGCACACTGAAGAATGAGGCTGGGCTCTTCGCTCAGCCTCAAGATATAGTGGCCTACCTGCGTCCTGGGCGGTGACTTCCAGGCCGCTCGGCCTCCCAGGCAACCGGTACCTCCTCCCTTTCGGAGGGAAACATCATTGCAGACTCTGATATTGCCCGTACAGGCCCTAGACTCAGACTGGATGGACTGGTACCCGCCTAGGCCTAGCCTACCGCTACTGGGTCTCTGAAAATGCCAACTTTGTCTTCTTCTGCTCGGCCTCGAGTACCTGGCACATATACTTCTACTGGTTGCGGTACCACCTACATGCTACTTGAGTGTTTTTCCGCTGCTCTAAGTGTCACGGGCCTCTAGTGTTTTCCCTCCACCAACCCTCAATGTCACGACCATAGGTAAGTACCGGCCCTACGGGCCTCCCAAACAAGCAAGTACCCTTGCGGGTCACACACACACTCATGCCGACAAGCACTCAGACATGCACGCAGGTCATCAAGCACGCACACACACAGACTTAGAAAACTCAGCAGAATGCGGGAATCTCAGCAAGGTATCCATTCCATCGGCAGAACACAGAAATAGTGTTCTCAGTCCGTGTTATGGCGGGTCATTACACTACCCCCCCTTCAAGAGCAAGGTCCCTTCGAGCGAGTAATTCAATCAGAGTCCCTGCGTAATGCATCATAAGCGTAAATGGCAAAGAGAGATCGGGTATGTTCCGTAGGAGTGAGGGTAGCGGTGAATTTAGGTTGCTGTTCGGAGCTAATCAGTCGTTCATATGCATTGACGACTCGCGGGGCACTCTGCAACAAATCTTTCTTAGCAATTCAGTTGAAAGTCATTCAATGGGTGATATAGAAAATGAACTTTGCATTGTCTATTTTTTCCTTTTCCACTGTGATCGACAATTCTATCAATCTCATGATCGCCATTGATTGTGCGAGGAATCATCGATTCTCGATACTGAAAAGTTTCGGGTGGTACATACGGAAAGAACTTCAACGTGTGAAAAACTGGTACGTGCGTAGATGACCAGGCACGTCGATCGTGTAAGAAGGACCAAATGAATCATTACCTACCTGGTTCAGCACCTTCCACGGAACGTAATACTGAGGAAAAAGCTTTCGTGATACACCTTCTTCAGAAAACTCAGACAATTTGACCCAAACATAGCTTCCCACTGTGAAAGGTTCAGGCTGGCGCTTTTTGTTAGCATGGTTAATGATAGTACCACGTCGCCTTTCCATAACTGCAACAACAACTTTGAGCAAGCGATCAAACTTAGCGCTCTAGCCTGGCTGGCCAGGCGTTTGGCCGGGTGGCTGGTCAGGAAACAAATAGGATAGGGGATTGCGAATTTGCCACCCGAGGTGCAACCGATTAGGTGTCATCCTGGTGGAGGAGTGTATGGAGTTGTTGTACAATCCCTGCACAATCGACAATTCCTCATCCCAAGAGTTCTGATCAGGCATAATTAGAGCTCGGAGAAGTTGGATCACATTCTGGTTGATTTCCTCGACCAATCCATTGGCTTCGAGATGTCTACCAAATGTCTTCTTGAGTTTGATGTCATTGATCTGGGAGGTGAAATCTTCCCAATCTGCACTTATGAACCTAGTGTCCCGGTCACTCACGATAGTCTTCGGGGGCCCACACTGCAGAGTGTACCTCTTGTTAAACTCCTTGATCACAAAGCTAGTTGGGGCGTGAGGTGGCAATGGAATCAAATTCAGAAATTTTAAAAAGTGGTGAACTATCACCATTACTTGCGAATATTTGTTCCTGCTCTTCTTTCCCATGTCCGTGAAGTCAATGGAAAGAGACTCACCCGGACCATCAGGGATAAGAAGAGGATGCAGCAGCCCATAGGGCTTTTGTCGAGACGGTTGATGCGTTGACAAACCTCACACTCAGCCACAAACTTTCGTGTCATTCCTTTCATCCCAGACCATACAAACTTTTGCAATTGGCTTCCGTATGTATTCTCAAAACCGAGGTGTCCACTCTGGCCATGAGCGAAGTTCAAGAAGTGAGTACGGATAGGCTCATGGTTGGGTACACACAGTTGGTCGTACTTCTCGTAACGTCGGAAGAGCAAACCTTTACACACATGGAAATCAGGCTGACTGCTAGGGTCGGCTTGGATCTGCTCAAGGATGGGACTAAGTTCCGGGTCCTTAACAATGTGCTCAACTAGTTCCTCCTTGAAATTCTTACGGAGATCGTAGGATCCCACAAGGCAAGTCGTGTACTTAGGGTGGCGAGACGAAGCATCCGCAACGCAATTGTAACAAATTTCTTGTGTTTAAGTTCAAAATCATACACAGTATTACACACCAATCTCATGCAGCCAGCGGGTCAATGTAGTTGATGAATTAATTTGTGTCTGAATCCATTTCAAAGTCTCGTGGTCTGAGAACTCTTTGAAATGGCAACCCAAGAGTACTGTTTCCAATGATCTAGTACCTCTCTCAAGGCATAGAGCTCTCGCATGTAAGTGGAGGCAGCTACCTTGTGAATGGGCATGCGTTTGCTGTAGTACTCAAGCGGACGTAAGCCGTCACTATCATCTTGCTGCAGCACTGCACCGATCCCATACAAGATTGCATCCGTAGTTACTATGAATGTAAGTTTGCGATCTGCAATACGGAGCACAGGATGACTCACCAAATTCTCCTTCAATGCTTGGAATGCGGTTGTGCATTCCCCATCTCATGTGTAAGACACATTCTTGCTTGTCAATTTGGACAGCGGACGGGCGATGATAGAGAATTTGGGCACAAACTTACGGTAGTATGACGCGAGACCAAGAAAAGAACGCAACTCACGGACATTTGCCGGTTGAGGCCATTTGCGGATGACCTCAACTTTGGTTGCCCCGGGCTCTAGCCCTGCAGCGGACAACCGATGTCCAAGGTAGATGACGCTGTCCCTCCCAAACTCAGATTTCTCTAAGTTGAGATGGAGTTGTGCATCCTTGAGGATCTTCAACACTTCCTCAGGGTGTCTCATGTGATCCTCCATCGACTTGCTGAAGATTAGTATGTCATCCAGATAAACAACAACAAATTGATTGATCTGACTGCAGAACACCTTGTCCATGAGACTCTGGAAGGTGGCTGGTGCATTCGTGAGACCGAAGGGCATGACGGTAAACTCGTACAAACCATTGCGAGTTTTGAATGCAGTTTTGTGTTGGTCAGCGGGGTCGACTTCAATCTGGTAATAACCAGACTTGAGATCGATCTTGTTGAAGACCTTGCATCCACCTGCATCATCAAGCAGATCATCAATGT